TGGGTCCCTCGTTTGGATCTGGGAAGTGCGGAATGTGCCTGACACTTATAAGACACCAACACGAACGCATTTAGACTGGGGATTGAGCAGAGATATGTCTCACGTAGTGGTGGATGCCGTTCTTCTCTTCAACCATACTGTATCGCATATAGAACCGGTGGAAGAAGACGCCTGCAACCCAAAGGGTGATTTGGGGCAAGTCGAGAAGAACTCCGGCCTGATATATGAAGTTGACACCCTTCGCGCGTCGTAGGCGCTCCTCTGCCGGTGAAATGCCATCTAGAATACTCGGTGTGCTCAGGGTCTCGTCGGGGGTGAAGTACCACTGATTGGGCGGAGGTCCTGGTGTTTGCGCCCTTGACCGCTGGGGTGAGCGCGTGTCTCGCTGAGAATGAGGGCGCGGCGGCGAGGTCCGCGATGAGTGTGTCGGGGGAGATGGAACTGCAGGTGGCACATCAAGACGACGCCCGGGAGATCTGGATTGCCGGTCTGGTCGAGGCGGACCCGGGGGGAGCGTGGGAGGCTGGTAGGCCTCTCTGGAGGGCCGATAGCGATCGATACTAGCCATCGCCGCGAAATTATTGTGATACCTTCAAGTCGGCGATTGGTAAAAGTTGATGTGAGAGACTGATCATGGGTGAAATGGCGCTCGCCGTCGCAAGTGGTAGTGTTGGATGATGGCGGAATCGCTTTCCTTGGTTTAGCTGAGGTGGATTTTCGACCCTGTTTGAGTCGCGTTATCTTATCAACAGATCCACGTGATCACTTTAGACCCCTGCGTGTTCTGGCTACCTAGCAGGTGGATAGGTACATCGGATGGGAAGATAGATAGGTGTTCAGGTCAGGTAAATGGGGAGCTACTCGATTTAGCCATCCCCGAATTTTGACCCTTAAGGGATCCTTAAGAGGGGAGAAATGTCGAGAAATTCATCATGGTTGTGTAGAGTGCCTATGAATTCGAGGACAGGAAGCATCGAAAATACTTTTACTACCTAAGGTACGTTACGGTCCATGGCCTGCGCTGGAAGCTATCGCACTTGGAGGTAGGTCCTTATGTAAGCCTGAGGTGCACACGGACCTTGATGCTGAGGTGTCTCCGTACCTGCAGCAGCAGTTGCCCATTCCGAATCAGGCAACAAGGCATCAATCAGCTTGGTACGCACTTTCCCTTGCTGAAGCTGGCCGTGACGCGAGCATGGAGCTGCCTGAGCTACTCCCCAAGTCAACGTCAAAGAACCCCATTCCCCATTCCAATCATCACCAAGCCCAACACTTCCACGAACATCAACGAAAGCCCGCTCAGAAATAATTCTTTACTCTCACCACCCCTTATCGACCGGTTAATTCGACAATTTCCCCCGCCCGCTGACCGCCGAGATGGACAGCCTTGTGGCCAAGTACAGCCGCCCGGCGTTCGAGCAACACAACACCTTCAGAGACGATGAGCAGGAGGACCTTGAGCTCCTGGGTGGAGCGCCGCCGCTGTCATTGAAGTTTGCTATGCCCCCGGTCGCACATGTGAGTTCAACCTCTTGACTGGGTTTCCGTTTGAACCTGAGATGCACCATCAGACTGACATGGGGAACCCCTCAATGCAGCCCTCCTCCTGGCTCCGCGCAGCAACAGACGACCGAGCCAACCCCGACTGCCCCATCAAGATTGCCCACGGCACAACGACCCTCGCCTTCCGGTTTCAAGGCGGCATTATCGTCGCCACCGATTCCCGTGCGACTGCCGGAAACTGGATTGCCTCGCAAACAGTCAAGAAGGTCATTGAGATCAACTCAGTGCTCCTGGGCACCATGGCCGGCGGTGCCGCTGACTGTCAGTACTGGCTTGCATGGTTGGGCATGCAGTGCCGCCTGCACGAACTCCGCCACAAGCGCCGCATTTCCGTCGCCGCGGCGTCCAAGATTCTCGCCAACCTCGTCTACTCATACAAGGGCATGGGCCTCAGCATGGGCACCATGTGTGCCGGCGTTACGAAGGAGGAGGGCCCCGCGCTGTACTACGTCGATTCAGACGGCACTCGTCTGCCTGGCAACCTCTTCTGTGTCGGCAGTGGTCAGACTTTTGCCTACGGTGTTTTGGACGCTGAGTACCGCTACGACTTGACCGACCAGGAAGCTCTTGACCTCGGTAGCCGAAGTATTCTTGCCGCTACGCACCGTGACGCCTACTCTGGTGGTTTCATCAACCTCTACCACGTCAAGGAGGAGGGCTGGGTTAAGCATGGCTTCAATGACACGAATCCCATTTTCTGGAAGACGAAGCTGGAGAAGGGCGAGTTCACCAACGTCACTGCCGACTTGGACTAGATGTCGGTGGAGAAGGACAGTGATTTGGTGCCGCTGAAGTCATACGTGTCGTGGGGTTCCTTCCAGAATCCCGCTTTCAGCCAGTCTCCAGGCGGAAGCCCGAGACCGAATCTCGCTCCAGTGTCGCTTTTGCCGGGACAGAGCGATATATCCCACCTATCACTATGACGTGCAAGGAGACAAGAAGATTTTACTACCTCGCACAGGAATGAATAGAACGGTTGTGATAGGCAAACCGAGCGCAGTCGCGGAATCGAGCATGGCTTGTCAGGTTGTCCATTAGACATCTATACTCTCAAGGGAGAGTGCAGGTGTTGTGTAACTTGTACACTAGATTATGATACAAGTTCATTCTCACGCTTCTTCTACATTGTTATTACATGTGATTCTATAACCAAAAAAGGGGTATCATAAGGTTTTAATGTTCTCTTCTTCTCCATCCAGGGACACCCAGGATGCCACCCTCTTCGCTGGACGGGTCAATCGACCACTTGCGCTCAGGATGTACGGAAAGTGAACTGTCCCAGCCAGCTTCGTACATTTCCATGCCGGTCCATGCAATCATGGCCGCATTGTCCGTACACAACGCTGGCGGGGGCGCCGTGATCTCCACATGCTCGAATCCGCGGACGTCGAGCATCTTCCGTAGCACGTGCATGAGGAAGCGGTTGCTTGCGACACCGCCGCTTACGACGAGTGTTTTCAGTGCATCTTTCAATTCCGGCTCGGCGGCAAGAGCGAGGTAGATGCGAGTCGCCAGGTGCTCGAATAGGAGGCGCATGGTGGCGCGGGCGAGGATCCGTCGTTCGTCGAGAGACATGGAGCCGCCTTTTGAGGTGGCGATTTTGCGGACCTCGCTGCCTAGGCCATTGAACTCGTAGGATAAGGCGCGGGAGGCGGAGAGGGGAGGGTGGAGGGTCCAGGAGTAGGGTGGGGGAGCGGTGTACGGCGCGATTTCGTCGACGCGGCGGAGGGGAGGGGTGTATTCGTAGTCGTGACCGTGCTGGCTTTTGGGATCTGATGATGATAGAGAGGAGGGGACAAAGGAGTCGGGAAAGGCGAAGCGTTCGAGGAGGGCGCCGTACATGACGTCTCCGTGGGATGCTAGCATGTCCGGCGGGAGGATGTGGCGCGCTGCCTTGTCGAGGGCGTCGCCGACGGCGATGTTGGAGGAGGAGGCGAGGATGCGGTGAGATGTGAGGGAGCGGGAGTGGACGAGCTGGGTGTGGCCGCCGGAGACTAGAAGGGTGAGGAAGGGGTATTCTGGTTTTATAGTAGCGGTGACATCGACTGTTGGAGAGGAGGAGGCGGTGGTGGATGAGGACGCTGTAGATGTCGTCGGATCATGGCGGGCGAGCGCGGAGACGAGGCGAGGGGTCAGGGCGTGGGCTTGCATGTGGTTCACGGCCAGGAGGGGCACCTGCCACGCTGTCGCGAGGCCTTTCGCCGTGGAGAGCCCGGATGCGAGGTTCGCGGACATACCGGGGCCGCGGGTCACCGTCACGAAGTCGGGTTTCTGGCGCAGAGTGCCGGCGACTGTGAGCGTGTTGTTGCTTGATAGCCCTAGCTCTCCTGCGAGAAAGCGACCTCCCCCTTTCCCTCCTTCTCGTATCAACTTGCTGTCATCGTGATTCCGAGCTTCTTCCTCGGAGGCAGCTGGGGGCAGAGAGGAGAGGGCTTCGGCGACGAGTGGCGCGAGCGATGCGTCGTGGGAGCGTAGGGCGACGGGCGGGTAGACGCCGCCGTAGGCCGTGCTGTCGGATGTGATTTTGCGGTGAAAGTGGAGGGTCGCGCGACCCAGGGGACCGGGGTCTTTGGAGAGGAGGGCGACGCAGGTATCGTCGCACGATGTTTCGATTGCGAGGGTTAGGAGAGTTCGGTACTGGTGCTGGCGCTGGAGCTGGTTTTGCTGTCGAAAGGGTGTCGGCCGCACATGCGCTGCCGGGGCTATTGCTGCGTTACCGTTGATGGTTCGATGGAGGTGAAGAGACGGAGCGCGCCATCTTTGGAAAATCGTGAGGGAAGGGCAGCGCATTAAGGGAGCATGGTGTGGATGTGGGTGTCGGGAAGTGCTTCGCGAGAGGATGGAAGGCTACAATGCGACGATGAGAAGTTCGGGAAGCTCTTATCTTATCACATGTAATCTTATCGGTTGTCTTCACCGAGGACTCACCGACTTACACGCTTCCCGAACCAAGTTGCAACGCCTGGTGTATTCCCCAGCCGGTTAGATAATCTTCTTTGTTCTACTAGAGCGCTGAGCCATCAGATGGCATTCAACTACTACGGAATCAAGAGAATCCCAATGAAATTTTCTCCTTCTTTTCCGCCGGTGCTGTGGCTGAAGTTAGTGAAGGCCGCCCCTTGCCGTGGAAGACTAGGGACGTATCGCGCACGAAAACTCCATCTTCTTTAGCGAATCTACTTACACATGTACTTATGCTTGCGATTAAAGCATCTTGAAGAGTTCATTGATTAAGATTTTGTGCAGATTCTAGCTGCCATGCATTTTTGAAATCCTTTTCCTCCTGTTTACCAACCATGCAATCGTAGTAATGCTAATAATGCTGATGTCATCCCTGTTTCCAACTCCAAGATCCTGTTCGAGTTCATATACAAGTCGGCCCTTATATCCTTGCCGACGTTCAACTATCATGAATGTCTGTAAAGTTTTCCTCATCTTTAGTTACCACTATCCCTCCTGGCAATAAAATTGACCCACTCGCAGCGGCAGCCGCCGGTACCACCATCGAAACCGCCAAAAGAAGCATTCTTATCCTTTCGAGGGTTCACAGTCGTTCCACCAAAGCCGATATCATTAGGGAGAAGCTTCGGTGTACTCGTATCGATGCCCTGGCGATCATTCACGGGCCAGTGCCACACGAACTTCTCGCCCGACTCTCCGCCGTGGGTGTCCGTCTTGATCGTGACGGGGTAAGGCATGGTGCCGGGGGTGGTGAGGAGCTGCGTGGTGTTCGCCGAGCGGGTCCAGATCTGGACGAGGAAACGCGTCTGAGACCACGTCACAAGGAACTTGGCCTCGCTCCTGCGGGATCCGCCGTCTTTGTCGAGCGGCACATTGCTCTCGTCCTCAGTCCCGTTGAGGGTAGTGACGGACTTGAGGTAGATGGTGCGCTTGAAGTAGGTGTAGAAACCGTAGTGCTCAGTCGGGAGGCCGCGATCATAAAGCCGTAAGGGCTGCTGGACAGCATGAGGGAAGAGCTGTGCGGGGGCTCCAGTGCCATCTGCCTCGAGATCTGGAGCCGGTAGTCTGATGCCAAAGTCATCAGTAGAGTTTCCCGAACTCTGACGCTTGCCCAGAGCGTTGGGGCCAACTGTTTCACTGGCGGACTTGAGGATGCTGAGATAGAATGGAGTCGGTTCGCCAGCTTTCTCGCTGGAGACAATGCCATCGGTTGTGTTTCCGAGGAAGTACATTTCCTCAAAGGAAGGAGGGGCTGGGTTGGGTGTGAAAACTGGGTTCTGTCTTTTGATGAGTGCCCTTGCCCTAGCTACGATGCCGCCAAGGTTCAAATGGCGCTTCCCAGAGGTAGATCCGGGCCGAGGGGGTTCACCATTTGGCACATTCCAGAGATTGCGCGTGTTGTTATCCCATTGGATCTGCATGGTGAAAGTCGGCTGGTTGGGACGGTTGGGGGCCACAGATTCCTGTTCTTCCTTGGGAAGTGCGCAGCTCCAAACAGTCGAAGGGCTACTGCAGCCGGTGACTGCGGCGGTGTTGTCCGGGCCAACAACTGAGAGAACCCCAGTTGGCATCGGAGGGAAGTTTGTGAGGTTGAGAAAGATGCTGTCAACTGGTGCAGAGGCGTGGTTTCGCGGGATGAGGGTAACGCAAAGAACGATGATGAGAATGCTGAGGAAAAGACTAGCTCCGCATATGCCAAGGCAAACACGTCTTCTCTTTCGACCTTCACGACCGCTGCGACCATAGCATCCATTCGCCGGAATGCACCCACGGCCTTTCCAGAAGCCTCCAGCTTTGCGAGCTGCAATTTCTTCCTTTTCGTGGCGACGACGCTGTCGTTCAACGCGATGACCGTTCCCTTCTGCTGCAAGGAAGTGTTCCGGCGGCACAAACGTGCCAGCGAATCGTTCTGGAAGGCGGCCTTGCTGCCCAGGAGCAGGGCTGTTGCCTCTTGGCGCTGGTGTCAAGGGTATGTCGGTCATGTTGATGCCGCCTTGGGAACTCATTGTTCCGTTGATGGCTGGCGAGATTGGTCCCGGAGACGGGGGATAAAGTGCCTGCAAAGGGTGGCCCGCAGGGAAGACAGCTCGGTACCGCACGGCCTTCTGCTGAGGAGGAGGAGAGTATGGGGGCGGCTGCTCTGAAGGAGCTGGGCTGGGTTCGGCAAGCTGAGTTTTCTCTGACCGGGGCTGAAGTCGTGGAGTAGCTGATCGAGAAGACGACGCGGGTGAAGGATCCCGTCTGTCCATGAGTGGTGATGGGGTCCTTCTCGGAGTAGGAACTCTGACTATCGGCGCCTCTATATTGCGTGGTGATGGCCTTGGAGATGCTGGAAGGCCTGGTCGCTGAACAATAACTTGTTGAACTTCTTGTGGCTTGAATACCGTAGGCTGCAAGGCTTTTGTTTCCGAGACCAAGACCCTGGCGCCCTTTTCACTCCACCAGTCCTCAGGCGCTGATGATTTGACAGGCTGTGATTCACTCTTCTGGGGTGGGACAATAGGGCTCTTCCTCTCTAGAAAGGGTGTCGTGATATGATCCCACCAACCACGAGTCTGCGTTGCCGCGCTGTCTGGGCTCTTTGATGCCTCCTTGACCTTTGTTGGCTTTGGCCGGTTCGAGGCCGTCCCATCCTCCTCAAACAAGGTGCATGGGCTGCCTCCATCATCGTCCTCATCATCCCTATTCTTGAGGACCACGCTGACTACTCTTTCCTGTTGCTTGTAGGTAGAAGGCACTGCAGGAACAGGAGGAGCGTCGTGAGCAACACCAATACCAACACCAAGACCAGTTGCTTGAGAATAAATGCTGGAAGTGCGGTGCGGTGACTGGAAAGGGGAGGTGGTATCTGGTGTGTCTGGGCTCCACACAGATCTCTGTTGTGAGGGAGTCAATGGAGTGACAGTGTCTGCTTTACCCGTCGTGGTAGGCTTATTGGTATATTTCGGCGGCAGATCATGCGGTGTCTCAATGATGGCTGTTTGGGGGCTGATTTCTCTGTCGGCCATCTCTGACGGCAACGCGATGCCAATGACAATCGGGCGGTCGTTTGGGGATAGGTCCTGCTCCAGGGGGCTGCGGCCAGCGCTTTGAGGAGACTTTGCGTTTGGGTCCGACTTCTTCATCTTCAGCCAGTTCCAATTGCCGACTGACGCGGAGTTAGGTGACCCCTCAAGGGCCCTCAGTGCTGCTGCATCGACAAACTTGGGCTGCTGGAGATCAGGAATCCGGGTCGGTTGAGCCTGTTGCTGCTGTCGCAACGTTGCCATGTCTGTAACCACCTTGATCCCTGCTTTGGCGTTCTGCGCCTTTTGCCGTTGGCGGGACTTGAGACGCCTCAGCTTCTGGACTGAATACCGTGGCTGTGAATATCTCGTCGAAACCGGTTTGTTTGGTCTCAGGGGACTGGGAGCGGCCGTCTTGTCCATGATGAGCTCTTGGTCATCGTCCATGATTGGGGTGACCACATCTTCATCTTCCCACTCCTCCCAGTCTTCCCTCTCGTTATCATGCCGGTGATCGTATGGCTGCCGTTGAGGCACGGTGGGCCCGTTGGAGGACATGTTGATGTAGGAAGTTCCGAGACTTCAGAACACAACTTTGGAGGGACAATGCGCGTAGATCGACTCCGAAGTGATAAACTGATTCGATGAGGATGCAAAGGTTTCGAGCCTCTCAAGAAAATTCTGAATGAGAATGAATGAACGAATCACTGAAAGGCTTCTCTGGTCGAGGTGGTGTCAAGCTGGAACAAAGGCGTGGCTTTGAGAGAGATGCTGGTGGATATTTTGGGGAAGGAAGCAAAGAGGGAAAGAGCGGCAGGTCCAAAGAAAGTGCTACAATGATTGACAACGAACTCTCCCACATGGAATACTCGGCTGTGAGTCGTGAATAGGCGCACAATGAACAACAAAAGGGAAAACGGATAGCCACCCACCGAGATTCGTTCAACTACGTCTGAAAACACGAAACAAGCAGGAGGGCAATGGCGCGGCAGGAGCAGGTAGCTTCATTATATGACTAGGGCCGAATCACCACGCGGCGGCTTTGAGTTCATGGGTCACGGCCAGGCCTCGCGATGTTTGGCTGGACGATGCAGTTCGCAGTATGAGGTAGGCGCCCAGTTGGACATCTCGAGCTTCTGATTGGCCGTGGTGCCGCTGGCCAGCTCTCGGGCCTGCACAGGCAACCGCAACGCTGGCCATTCATTTGGCCGCGGTTACATGGAGGGCAGGACGGCTCTGCGGGATGTAGCGGCATGCAGGACATCCATGAACAGAGTGTTGGCTCATCTCGCGTAGCCGAATCATATCATTCAGTGAACCACGATGAGCCAAATGACTGTGTGTGGTTTGAGTGAGTGAGTTTGGGGAAGTTGTGGTAGGTGTGGGTGGCTTGAACAAGGTGTGGCTGAAGACTCATACCTACGCCACTCTGGTCTTATTAATAGATTTCCCGCCAGATACAAGTGTAGGTATTAGATTCACCTTTCACCGAGTCCGTACGCCTGCCGCCGTTAAAGGATCATCTTCCGCACCTAACCTTGCCGAAGAAGTGGAGACCCGAGACAATTGTATGCCGCTGCCCGGGCCGGGTTTTGTCAACTCCAAAGCTGAATTGCTCACTTTCTAGCTGATATCTCAAAGTTGAGAACAAGTCAGTGACTGGCTGGCTAGCCATGTCGAAACGTTTCAGCTAGCCCGTTTTTCGTTGTGTGTCGAATGTGAGTCTCGCACTATACGCGCTACATTCCGATCTTGTCAAATTGGAATGCTCATACAGGACGTCATAGCAAAATATGCCACACCTGCCAAAGCACTCAAGGTGTTGTCGAGTCCTCCACGAGCCAGCAACGCGTCGGAATGCAGTAAAGCATCGGCATCGGAAGCGATCGAGTCAAGAACTCGGGTATCACGCCTCGCCGGCTGGAACGTCTTCCCGATGCCACGACGTATGCCATTGGTGGGCAGAGGTACAGGTTTTCCTTCCAGCCCGTCATCCTATCTTACAAGTTACGTGTCTGCACGCCAGCCGTCACCCCTCATTTACCATAGCTTTGGGATTTGGTTGTTGTCATGGCTGTGGGATGGAATTACAGGGCCATACAAATCCGGTCTCAGGTCCTGAGCAGGTGGACGATGAGCATTGATTGGGTGAGTGGCTGTGCGGCTAGCTGCCTCGCAATGGACGAGGGAGGGCTCGGGCTTTCTGAATCGAAAACCTTGCCGTTCCAAAGAGCAGGGCGAAAGAGGAGCATTAACATCTTGGGATTATGTATGATTCATACAGTTTTCGTCATCGGCGTGCAACGCCAGTATATGAATGAACTTTGGCGCGGTTGTTTCGGCAGGAGTATTCGTACAAGACGCTGGCTGTGGAGTTGGCATCTTTGCTGTAATGCTGGCGTCACCGAAACACCGCTGTTAATTTAAAAACTGGTCTGGACTTGAGGCGGAAGACGAGAGACAGCTCCACTCGATCTTGAACGCAATCTCCAATCGGGAGGATCAAACATGGCAAGCATCATGTGGTCTAGAATTGTTATACCGCAGTTTGTCGCTCGAAAGTCTGGTTCCGGGGCGGAAACCACTAGATGTAACATCGTGCAATTCTTGCCAATTAGCAAGACGCGCCTCAAGGGCTGAATGACAGGTAGGTACACCACTTGATGCCATGCTGAGCAGCGTCACTCGACATCCACTAGCATCTCATTTCAGCACATGCGAGATCTGTCTGTGTAAGGTATTCAAGGGCCGCATTGAAATGCGTTAAAGTTCATGTCTTGGCTAGAAAGCGTTTTTTGTTACCTCCTTACCTCAGCAAGCTATTTGGTATCCCTGACGATTGCGACAGGTTCGTGAATGCCCTAGATTGTATTCTTTTCCTCCCTTGGCTCAATCTGTACATGTATCAGGTGAACTCAATTCAGGATGATTTATTCATAAACTTTTCTTTTCTTTTCTTCTTTCTTTTTTTGGGCAGATAACATCCATGATTATGACATCGTTCTTATCACGATATTCAGACGATTGATATGTCAATTGCTGCTAATCCGGGGTTATTGAGAGGAGAGAGTTTGAGGAGGCTTCGAGCCTATTACTTTAAACAACCAGTCTCAAAGTACACTTGACCTGTCTCACTGCTGCGGCATGAACGTTGTCGCCGTGTGCAAGCTACCCGAGTCAATGCAGGGCCCGTGATTTAATGTCAGCGGACCGCTAGAAGCCCTGAAACCTTGGCATCCTGGCACCCAGCAAAGACGTTCCATCTGAAAAAAGATTAGACGCACCAGATTTCTGCATCTATACTGGACTACGGGCGAGAAGGGGTTAGCAATACAAAATTAAGTGCCCTTTTTTAGAAGAGAGACTGACGGTGGGATGGACTGGACGATGGCCAACCGGGATGGACGGCCTCCCTTCAGGTATTATTGCCCAGCTTGAGCCCAGCCCATTCCCTTTGCAGATACGAGACGATCAAAGGAGGAAATCAACAAATAGTCGCACAAAAGGGAAACGGCCCTTTCTTGAATCTTACGAATCAAACATTCCCCTCTGCCAATATCTTACTCATATTTGCCTGTGAGATTCGGAATTCCATTGTCGGCCTCCACAGCTTCTGCTTCATTTGGCTCAGTTGTCATCCGTCAGCAATCATCCCTGCCCCCTACCTAGGTACCTTCACGTACTGTGGTAATCCTGTCTCCGCGTGCTCTTCCCCTCCCTTTCCACCCCACGCCAGTGGCAGCAGGCGGTCAATTCCCGGTCTCTCTTTCCTGCTGCAGCCACCAGCGCCGCGAAGGAACACCCTCGCGAAAAAAAAAAGTGACCCAGCCGGAAGACGACTCTCCTCCACTTCGCCCTCCTCCCTAACACTTTTCTATCTGTCTGTCTACTCCGTACACCTGTCCCCGTCGCATCGACACTACTACGGGAGAAGCACCACCGAACCGAGCCACCAATTCCTAACACCTAGGCTCTGGCTGTCTGCCGTCCATAATCCTCCGAGCTTCTACCTTACCAACCAGGTCCTGTATCGACCTGCCCTGCCCACGCAGCAAAACACCTTCCCCTGGCTGGGTTACCTGTACAGCCTCACCCTGAATTCCACGAACCACCAGAAGCCATTCTGCCTATTCCGAAGAGAGAGAGGGGACCCCCTTTTTCGGATACATCGACCCCCTTCCCCAACACCTTTAGCGAATACTTCTTCTTGGCTATCGCGTTGTAACCAGACGGCTCGTAAAGTGCCATCTGGTCACAACCCTCGATAATCTTTCATCCTGGATCAATCACAGCAATTCGCCGCCTCTTCGTCCTTCAGCGATCGCAGGCCAGCACGTTCACATCATCGACGCCGCTCCTCTGCATCTGGCGGTCTTGCAGTCAACGTTGACGGCCCAGGCGACCGTGGCTCTCCCCAATTCCTGGGAGTCCACGGCCAGCAGCCTGGTCTTGCGCCAATTCCAGGTACGTCTTGTCCTGCATCATCCTCCCGTCCTTTTCCTCAACTCCCAGTCCGGCCCGTGGTACACCTATTCGCACACGTCTACGTCTTCCAACCCCCCGTATACCGACATGCCACCGATGTGAATACGGGTTGGACAATCGAATGACGGGACCCGCTTGCTGACAGCTCGTGTTCTTTTATCGCTGCAGGCACCCCCAACACCGCAATGTCGCTCTCGCGCAGTCCCTCGCCTATACCTGGAGGCGGTTGGGCCAGCCCTGGCCTGACCATCAACACCAGCGGTCGATCGAGTCCGAGTAGAGGCTTCTCAGCATCCAACGGCGCTTCTACCCCTTGGGAGAGCAAGATGAGGACCGTTGGTATGAACGGTTACCCGTCCTTTTCTACCCAGAACCAAGGCTTCTTCACACGACACATGCGCCGGATATCAAGCAGCCTACCGCGGTTCAACAACCAGAGTCCATATGTCGAGAAGGAAAAGGACAAACTGGGGCGAGGATCATGGGCGGCACAGAAGGTTCCCCTCGTGGGAAGGATACGGAACATTTTCGCGCGCATGGGCAGGAAGATGAAGCTGCGCCTGCTGATCCTGCTCCTCTTCACCCTCGCGATGACCATCTTCTACAACACTCGTACGTTCCTCCTCTCGACTCGAGTCTCCTTTCCTCGCTAACCATCTCGCAGCTCTCGTCTACCACTGGCGAAGACACTTTGGTGGAGGCCAAAAGTATGTCATTATCTTGGCCGCCAATATCGGAGGAGGTGTCATGGAGTGGAAAGGGGCCCGTGAATGGGCTATTGAGCGAGACAGTGTACGGAACAAGAAGAAGTACGCCAACCGATGGGGATATGATCTTGAGATCGTAGACATGAGCACCAAGAAGCGATACGCACACGAATGGCGCGAGAGCTGGGAGAAGGTCGACTTTGTGCGCTCCGCCTTCCGCAAGTATCCAAAGGCTGAATGGTATGTCGCAGCGCTCAATTCTCAGCGTGATTGAACTAACAATGGGTTCAGGGTTTGGTGGCTCGACTTGAACACCTACGTCATGGAACTATCTTATCCCTTACAGAACCATATCTTCAACGACAT